AAGAAAGTAGCAACCTGTAATAAGGAAATAATAGTAAAAACCATCGGCATTCCTAAATTCTCTTCCGCGACTTTGTAAAGATCATCTGAGATCATCTTAATCCTTCCTTCACTAAATAACGGTTCTAACCCGCTTAGTGATAGCACTGGAACTTGATCGGGATAATCTGGAGGAAGTCGTATAGATAACCTCAGCTTAAAAATATCAGATGAGTCTTCCACTGCGCTTTCATCCTGAAAGCCTCGAAATATTTATATTTGAAATCCAAGACGGTTCATGCACAAGAAGATAACTTTGTAAGTCAAATTTCAGCAAAATTAAAGCTAGTAAAATTCAACATAAAAAAGCTTTTCTGGCTTTTGGAATACTGCTCCATGCTCATACACTTTCAATCAACTGACCTCTAACCAAAAACATAGCTCTTGCGAAAAAAATAAAAATCAAATCTTTGAGAAAAAGTGACCGAATGAGGTGCTAAATTTATCACTATTTCAATATTTGGATAATCACGATCAATAATTTCTAATTCCCCTGGAAATATTGCCTCCAGCGCCTCAAGTTCTTGCAGTTGTATTTCTTGTTGACTCATGTGCGACTAAGATTTTCTGCAACAAATAAATTAGTGCCAATCAAAGTAATGCAACAAGCCGTATGATTAGCAAAGTCAAATACATTAGACATCACAATCTGTTCATTCATTTTATTCACTAAGAAAAAATTTGTCAAAAAAAAAAACATCGGCAGGTGTAACAACGAGGTTCAAGATAAATACACTCCCCATTAACCAAAAAAATATCAATGTGTTCCACCCAGAAACTCAGAGGTAAACGTAACGCGTAATCATTTTGAAAATATTTAAATGTTAATTCATACTCCTGCTCACAACAGGAAACTTTAGACACTCAAAAACAGACATAAAAGCATACATGAGACTTATTTTAAATCTGCTCTGCACCAAAAATTCATAAAATGTTTTTGAACTGTTTTTATACTTGGCATAAAAGCCAAGATGCAATATTACGAAAGTCAAAAAGCAGCAAAGACTTTAAACTTCCGTCAGGCACTTCTTATCAACTTCTTGGCGGCCAAGTGCGGAAGTTCTGAGGAAATTTTTATAACGCTTCGAAAAAACATCTTTGTTAGTGGCGTACGGAATGACGGATACTGTTTAAGTTTTACAGCTGCAGTGTAAGGAACTTGGAGCAAATCCACTTCCTCCTCAAGAAAATTTTGTGATCGTAGTTCGCACGTTCCTAAACCGCTTTTCACTTGCTCAAAAATATCTTAAGGCGCATTGGCTACATGTACAGAACTCGTTGATCCACTGTATGAAGATGCTGTAAAATTTGCTAAAAGCAGTTTTCTGAAAACGTACTCTGATGTATGTGCCAAAGAGATCTGTGCCATCGATGACTTACCACTGCCGTCTTATTTGACTCCACTGGACTGAAGCAACTATCGCTTGCTAAAAGTACATTGAAAATGAGTTTAAAGGTCATTTTCAAACTGATAGTTTCGTCCACTTTTTTGCCGAGAAGTTACAACAGCAGAATTCCAAAGCAACAAGAGGTAGCCCCCAAGACAGTGGTGAGTTGAGTTATGAAACGTGGCCACCTTCCATCTTTTAACACAAAATACGTCAACACAGAAGGACGTCGGAAAAAGCTGTAAACAGATTTTAACGCTAGGTGTGAGACAGTTAACAGGAAGCGTAGATAAGGACGAAACTTTAACGGATAGATCAAGTGGCGGTGAGAATCCCAAAAAGAAAAAGAAAGGTAATTTAAAGGCAAAAAAAGCATACTTCGGGTTTCCCACAGCTAACTGAAATAGCGCCCTCAATTCCGCACTCACAGCTTTCATCAGTTTCTGCAATACCTTTACAGTATAATTCTCTTTGTCAAACACCTGCTGTTAAAATACGGCTTACTAAACAATACTCCCTTGATAGAACTCAGCACTGACGACGTGTGGCGCGTCGAAATAGCGACTGAACCGGTGGTTCTGCGACTGTGACTTCAAAGAAGGAGGCCAGACTTACTAACAAGTCACTTTATGAGCAGAGATTTTCTTTAGTCACTGTGTACAGTAGATTAGTGATTATAAACAGACAACTAAAAGTCTATGACTAGATGAGTGTTTTTAAGCTGAACATCAGTACTTTATAAACACTAGAACTCTGTTCAAGAAGCTTGAGTCAAAGTGGGCCTCAAGAGTCTTCGTTTACGCCATCAGTGTTTCAAAACCTAACACCTTGACTACTGCACAACATTTCATCACGCAATTACAGCAAACCTGCATGATAAACTGTAATTTGACACTCGTTGTTAAGAATTAAGAAAACAGACTAAAAGTAGCGCGAAAATTAACATAGGTGAGCGGAGCATGAATGAGACCTTCATTTGAAAAAATGAAAGTAAGTCATCAGAAGACAAAAGCATGCGCAGTAAACTGTAGTGGCATTGTAGACACAAAATATTACATTACCATACATATTACATTACCCTAGATTATACCACGACATACTATAATACACTAGACTACAACATACTACGCTACACTATATTTCATCATATCATAATGAAATCTGCTGAATTACATCACTCCATATTATGTTACGTTTTGCCGCGTTCTACCACATTGTAATATTTGATATTTTATTACACTACATTTCTGAAATACATACCGGGATGTAATATAACACATTATATTATGCTATTCTATGTTATAATACACTCTACTATATCACGCTATATTGTATTATATTGTGCTGTATTATATTATATTATATTGTA